ATTTAATAAGTCATTTTGGCAGATACTCAACAAAAAGTTATACTGTGSAATACAAATGGTTATTACAATAATATAGATACATTTACCCAATTTTGTACTTGTATAAATTGAAAATTTGTAAATGTTTGTTAAAATTATAATTGTATACTACACGACTTTAGGTAGGTACGTCGAAGATCGAAAATTACCATAAGCTTTATGAATATTGATAACACGAGTGATTATACCTGTGATAACAAATGGCAAAATAATGTTATATACTTAAATAATAATATATTAATAACAATCACATCATTATAAATATTCAATTGTAAATCCGAATTTCTTGGAAGGTAACGTTAAGATTGGAATATGAAAAAGTAAAATGTATCAATTAATTAATGGAGTGTTAAATAATAATTCTGTTCATAATGTTCTCACGTGGTATTTGAGTAGGTATGTATAATATGTATAGTAATGATAAGCTTATTAGTTATTACGACACAATTATATAAATGTAGATAATCATGTAATATAATAGTAATGTAGGTATTACATATACATGATACATTTATAATAATATATAAAATAAACTACACGTAAATTGTGTTTTTGTACAAAAGTTACTGATAAACATTCTGTAATTTGTTAGTCTATTTTAATCATAGGTACCTTTATGTTTCAACATCCAGCTATTCAGTAACTTTAAACTAAAACGTACATAGTATAAAAGGTACGACCTAACTTCACTTAACGACAAGCGTCCGCTCTCTATGTTTTTACATAACTTAATATTATTTAGGTTTTATTGGTTGCCCTAAACTCCTTTTTCTAAACCGATTTCAAGAAAATTCTATTAATATCCGAAATCATAAATTTTTTATAAAATGTGCACCAATTTAAAACTATAATATCATGAATTTCCCTGTCAATCTTATAATGACTATGGGTAATAAATGTTTATTTGACCATTATTAGAGGTCTTTGAATTTAATATATTTAAATTTGTAATTCAATTTTTTTCCCTTTTAGTTATTAGTATATTCATAATTTGATTTGTAAATGCACTATACGTAATCATATAGTAATAGACCTTATATTTGAAATAAATAAATAAATACATTGTAGAATTTATCCTTTKTTATTTATTGATTCGTTCTCGTAAATTGGACACAACGTCATGAACTCACAATATTAATTGATGATAAGAATTATTTAAATAAAAGGTCAAGTCAGGTTAGGTTAGGTAATTTATAAAAGGAACCGAGCGCATCACAATATTCATTATTTAATGATATTCTAATGTTAATAAACGTATTAATGCATAATTGTAAATACTTGATCATTGGTCAATTGTATCAGGCTAATTATTGTATTAATTTGGAAAATTCAAAATTACTAAAATGGTACTGATAAAAAACATAGACAGATATGATCTGACACAGTATACACGACACACGTCATTGAACAATTTAGGTATACCTGGTGTAGACATGCATCACACACAATCATTTTTTCGAATTATAATGACTCATCATTTCAATAAAATTCAGAAAAAAAATAGTACAAGGTTGACATGAAATACGAATGTATGAGCTAKGTGTACAAGTTTATAACAACCAGTTTTCGTAGTCTATATTCAGTACCTACATTACTTTTGATTTAATAAATAACAAATAATTTTTCAAACCAATGTATCTTATCATTTCTTATTATTTTAAGTCAAAATTTATTTTTTTTAAAAGCRGGTAAGTCGTAGATGTCGCTCTGCTGTACAGTAGGTTACTGTAATGGATGGGATTAAATTTGAATGCAATGATAGGTGTCATTGTATACGAAAAACGATTCTG